TTATACGTAATTAAAAATAATTAAGCAATTAGATTAATAATTAATTAGTTGTAAAATTAATAGAATTAATTAGCAGAAATAATTAATTTATTTGCAACTATTTCATATTTCATACATATCTGCATTTGCTATTTTTAAAATTTTACTAGTTATTTCAATCGGAATTATTGGGAATTACCGTTTATAGCAGCTGTACTACTAGTTAGTACAATTTTTTGGATCGTACTACATTGTGCAGCAGCTTTTAATACATTTAAAGTACCATTCTTGGCTATTTTTATAGTTGCCTCATCAGCTACAATAGGCCAAGGTGATGCAATATGCATAATATATGTACATTCTTCAACTGCTCTAAAAATTTTTAAATTAAATTTTTTTTTAAAAAAAAAAATTATTGCTAATTTTGTAAATATGAATATTTAAATATTTATTAATTTATGCAGTTTTTTCTTTTTTTATTAAAAAAATTATGTAAAATTTATTTTAAAAAAAAAAGAACAAAAAGAAATGAAATTATTAAATTTTTTTTTTTTTAACCTTGGCCAATGATCAGCACATTCAAGATCAGCTTCTACCAATTCTAATCTTTCCGAACTATACTTTAGATCACGAAGTGGACCAACCTATAATAAAAGCATAAATTTAAGTCTAATTTTTTACTCTTTCATTAATTACCGATTAATAATTAATTAGTAATAAAATTATTGAATTAATTACGATTATCCTTTAACGTGCTGTTAAAGCTCTTGTAAGTTTTTACGAATATAATCCGTAGCTCATCATTTGTCAACAAATGATAAATTAATTCAAGTATTTCTGATTAAAGGTCAATGCATGGGAGGTCAAAGTTTGAAATATGATAAGTTCTACAAAAATCCTATATTATTTTGAGAAAAACAAAAAATTTTTCTCATATAATTAATGATACAAAGAATTAAAGAATTTTTTATTACTGTAATACCAGAATTAAAATACCTCTTACTACTGTAATATAGAGAATTAAAGTTTCGTTTATCAAATTAATACAGTAAACATTAATAATTGTATTATATTTCAATTAATAAATACTTTAGCAATATTTTTGATCAATGCTGATAATTGTCAAAATATTTTTTAAGTTTCGAAAAGTTTTACTCCTA